CAGTGGATAGTGCTCTTGACCTGCATAGGTTTCAATCCCTGGAAACCCATATGGTATCCCACTGTTTGGAGTAATTCCTAAGTTCAGAGCCAGAAGTAACCTCTGAGCATCACCAGGTGTGGCCCCAAAACAAAAACAAACAAACAAAAACCCACTGTACAGCAAAGGTGAGATCTACTTGTTACAATAAGTAAACACGTCAGCTGCTCCAGGATATGTTAACTGAACCAGAGCAGGTTGGAAAACAAGTAATGTGGTAAATTGAGGGTCTCAGAAGAATTAAGAGGTAGGAAAAGAATTAACAGAGAAAATTAAAGGAAATTGGGTTCTTAAGTTTATCAGAGAGAGTCCAAAGCACAAACATCTGTCAGTTATAAAATATCAGACAAGTTACTTAATCTCATTACACCTCAGTGTGCTCATCCTAAAAGTAGTGATACTACTGTTAGCTACTTCATATGATTGTCATTAGGATGAAAGACATTAAAAAATGCAATTTTCCTGAAATAAGTGTCTTATACTATGAGTTAACACAGCCTTCCTTAGTTTACCCCAAGTTTATTTAATATGGCTGATGTCTCAAGAAAGAAATATATATTTGAACTAATTTAAAATACGAGATAAATTACAGATCCCATGTCATGATGAAATCAGTTATAACTTTTCAAGTGGACTTCTGTTAGTTTTAGACATGTCTAGAAGGCTCAGTTTCAGGATTTAACAAAAGTAATAACCAAAATCTAAATTAATTTCAACATTGTGTTTGCTCTGAGACAACTTCAAAGGCACCAGAGAAATATTACCGGGGTTAAGGAAAATGTGGGTGACCAACCCCAATTCAATACCCAGAACCACGTGATCATCCACCAGGTGAAGTCTTGAAGACCCCCAAGCACAGCTAGGTTATATCCAAGAATTGCTGGGAGCAAGCCTAGGCCTCCTTTTGGGAGACCCCACTCCCCACACCAAAGAGATCATTCTGGAAATTATCCTTCAATATCCTGAATTTTTATTATAGCTTCTAAATTTATTGATTCTTTAAGAGATCTTTCCCTCTACCACACAACAACTGGAAGCCAGATGAAACAATTCTGAGTATGTATATTGGCAATAGACATAGAGTAGATGACTAGCATCTTATCAGCTATCACTTGGATTATTATACATCATCATGTTCAGATACCTGCATCAGAAAATGTATATGAAGCATCTTAGTAAGTTAGATTCAGCTGAGTCATAAGTGGCCATACCTTTCAAAATCTTCCAAATATCAGAGAAATACCAGCGTCTGAAGTCCCAGGAACTTAACACTCGTTTACACACTTCTGCCTGCCTGGTCTCAGCAACACTTCCATGTTTAGTACTTTTCATCAAGCTGCATAAATTAACTATGCAAGTGCTTATAAGGGAGTATTACAAAGGATAAATTTTAATTGAGTATGCTACAGTCACTTTCATTTGATGTCTCAAATATCTGAGTTTAGTTCCTCCCACTTAATCCTTTAGAAAATATTTGCAGAGTAACATTAGCATAAGTAAACTCTTCAATATCCCTTTATCAAAGTCCCACCACCAGTTACAACTCTCCAATCAGAATGTTCTTGCCAAGGATAGCTTTCCCCATACCAAAATTTAAGTTTAAGCCCAGCCACTCATTTTAATACTTAAATGCCTATAGTAATGAGATAGCAAGGAAATTTCTTAACGGGAGTGTCAGTGATGAAGAGGGAAGTCAGATCTTCCTTGCCAGGAGCTATCCTATCCATTGCAAGTCAATTAGTATTCTAACCATGCCCTCCCTGTTTCTCACCCCAGCCACACAGGTTTCTCACTATCATCATTTCCTATTGAGAATGTTTATAAAACGGAACTTGATTAAAAGAGAACTTAAGGGGCTGAGAGATAGCATACCCTGTAGGGCGTGTGCCTTGCACGCAGCCAACCCAGGTTCTATTCCCAGCATCCCATATGGTCCCCTAAGCACCTCCAGGGATAATTCCTGAGTGCAGAGCCAGGAGTAACCCCTGTGCATCACCAGGTGTCACCCAAAAAGCGAAAAAAAAATAAGAGAGAACTTAAAAACAGAGTGATCCTGGGTATTCTGAAATAGACTGCATTTGTTTAAAAAAATCATGACTGGAACTCTGGAATCAAACTACTTGAGATCCAAATGTTGTGAATTATTGAAGAATATAAACTTACTCTATCTTTTCTCCTTCATAAAATGGAGATGAAAAGAATACTACCTTTAAGGGCACCTTCCAGGATAAAATAAAACAGCCCATGTTAAAGTAGTTATAAATTGGTCTGGCATTGCTCTAAGGGCTGAGAATATGCTTCACAGACAGGAGACCTGAATGCAATTTTTGACACCACATGTGTTCCCAAGCGGAGCTGGCAGCAGCCGCCAAGTACCAAGCATCAGAACTGAAGTAGTTCCTGTGCATGGCTAGGTATAGGAGCCTCCACCCCCACCAAATAATTAAAATATTAAGGATTACCTATAATTTCCAATTATAATTAGATGCATAGGTATTGTTAGAGTGCTAGACACTATATTTTATGACTCTAATTTTAGTTTTCCTAAGTATGAGAAAACATGGCCATTAACTGGATCAATTATTACTAGAATTAGAGTAGCCATATTCCATGTATTTTTGGCTTTATTGATTAATTTTTTCTGTGGAATTGGCTTACCTATGGAGGAATATACCATAAATAAATGTATTAAATTTAGGTTGATTGCTATTTAACTGCATACAGATTCCTTTCTTTCAATGGTTAATCCAGCTTCCAAAATCTGCTGAATCCAAAATCAGCAAAACTTTTATTTGTGTTAATGAACTACAAGCGACAGCAAGTATGATGTGTTCTCATTAGTGGGTCTCACCTCATTAGAACCTGTGCTCTCTGATAATGGACCTCTGAGGTCAGTAAAAATCTCAAGAAGAATCCCCTTTAAGAGATGGACAGTTCTGTGGAATCTGGTGCTACCTATGGTTGCCTACAACAATTACGAAAACATCTGAAGAAATCTAGTACTAAATGCCAAAGTGCCTTCTACTGAAGAAACATTAATCATGTATTTAATCTAAGGAAATTAAATGCAGATTTGGTGGCTATATTTTTTTCTCATCATTTCAGAAATTAGCAACAGTCATCAGAGGATTTCAGTAACTTTCTGGAAAGGTAATCGCTACTAAACACCCCCCAAATTAAGGGGCGTTGTTGCTGTTATTTTATTCGGGGGCCACACCCAATGGTACTACAGGGTTACCCCTAGGTCTGTGTTCAGGGATCATTCCTAGCAATGCTCAGGGGGTTACATGGAGTGCAGGGGATTGAACCCATGTCAACCACCTGCAAGCAAAAGCCCTACCTACTGTACCATCTTCCTGTCTCTATATTGTTTTTTAATATCCAATCTCATCTCATCTGATAAATAAGAAACTGCAACAGCAACACCCTTACCGAAAACAAATTTAAAAATGCAATGTCTTTTGTCCTTTTGAATGAAAGTGTCAATATTAAAACATGGGGAAAAACAAGTTATATAAAAAGTGCTGTGGTGTTTCCATTATTTCTCAGTGCCCACAAGAAACTATTCAGCCTCATGCATGTGGGTATCTCTGTGGCTATCTAATAAGCCTACTGAGAATACGAAATTTAATAATGGCAATTGTCAGAGGATGGCCAGCCAGCAAGCTTACTAAAAGGCAGTTTCTAAGAAGCAAAGACTTATTCATATACAAGCTATCCTAAGTGAGCTGTTTTCTGAAATAATCCTAAGTGGAAAAGTCTAAGTCAACAATTTCTTCAAACCAAACAAGACATACCGTATTAACAAAGGGGGGGAAAATCACATACCCAGAAACTCTTTGCATGTCTCCCAAACAGACATTTATGAACTATGCTGGCCAAAAAGAAAAGAATTGTTCTGTGAGGCTACCTGGCCATGTCTCAAGATTTATTGTGACATTTGTGGTAACTAGGTAGCAAAGTGAATCTCGGGTGACAAGGATGAAAAATAGAAATGGAAAGTTAACCCTGAAACAGTATTCTTCAAAGAAAAGTGTAAAGCCTCAGAAAGATAGAGGTAACTTTGTGTGCATATCTCACTCGTTTTTCACTTACAAGTATTCCCATTTTGCAAAACCAAGGACGAAGCAAAGTAGCAAAAATGGTTAGATGTTAAAAAAAAAAAAATACTTAGGTATGTTCCTAACTGCTCCAGCGCAGCAAGGAAAGGCAGAATTAGATCTGGGTTTCACTGGCTGGTGTCAGATGATCTCTCTGTGCATGCTCCAGAATTCGGTGAAAACTTCTGCAGCCAGTCCAGGTGACCAGAGAAATCTGCAAAGAACGAGTTCCCGCGAGTCTCTTGCTACGAGGAACACTGTGGCACAGAACTACTACCCACGAGACCTCGTCTTGGAACCTGGAAGGAACCGGCCCCATCCTCGGGTCGTGCATGTCTTTTCCGTCCTGTCCTCCCTAAGGTCAGTAGCCTCACGCACGCCGGACTAAGTAGGACGGAGTATCCCGAGTATCCCGGCTCCTCGTCTAGACAGCGCAAGCAAACGGGGATTCGCTTTTTTTTAATCAAACCTGTGGAATAATGCAATCCTCCAGACTCAGATATGCCTGGCCGACCAAAAAGCGCGCGCATGCACACGCATGCACACACACACACACACACACACACACACACACACACACACGGAATCGGGGGCAATCTCGGTCAGCGCTGAGCAAGCGCCAGGTGCCAGCGGCGCGCGGTCGGGTCGCAGCATCACCCGGGGACGCGGCGCTCCTCGCCACTGCCAGGGGACCGCGCTGCCCGCCGCGGCGGCCCTCGGCAGGGACGGCGCCCACCTCCCGGCCCCTGCCCGGCGTCGCGCCCTCGCCCTGCCCCGGAGGCAGCGGCCGGGTGGGACCCCCGAGCCCGCTGGGCATCCCCGACCCCGCTCCCCCGCCCCCGGAGCGCGCCCGCCACTTACATGCCGGCCCGGAGCTGCAGGGCGCGGCCCGGCGGGCAGCGCGCGGCCACCCAGGCGCACACGCACCAGAGCCACAGCGGCGCGGCCATCCCGGCCCGGCCCGGTTCGGCTCGGCGGCTGGGGCGGGGGGCGGCGAGCGGCGCCGCGCGCGTCCGAGCCCCGCAGAAGTTGGGCGCGCGGGGCAGAAGTTGGCGGCGGAGCTCGCGGGCCCGCGCGCGGGCGGAGCGGCCGGGCGGGGCGGCGGCGCGGCCGGGAGCGCGGGAGGCGGCGGGCGTCGAGCCGGAGTCGCCCGGGCCGCAGACACCGATGCGCGGCCGGCCGGGCTCCGCCGGGAGCGTCCGCCCCGCGCGCCCCCCGCGCCGAGCCCCCGCCGGCCCCGCTGCCATGGAAACGCGCTCGCGCCCCCGCCCCCTCCGGAGCGCTTAAAGAGACCGCGCCGCCGCCGCCGGGGCCGGGGGCGCGGCCGGCGCCCCCACCCCGCCCCCACCGCGCCCCCCTCCCGCCCGGGGTGCCGCCCCTCCCTCGTCCCGCGCCCAACGGGGAGCGGAGGATGAGCGTGGGAGGAAGCGAAGGATGAGCGAAGCGACTCTCGCCCGCGCCCACCCCGCGCCGCAGCCCCTGCTCAGAGCCCGCGCGGCCGCGCCCCTGCCACCCGCGGACCCCCCGGGCTGCTCTCCAGCCGCGCCCCTGCCCGGGACGCTGGAGCCGATCAGCGTCTCGGCTGGGGGGTGTTGGAAGTGAGAACCCGGCCGCGGCGAGGAAGCAAAGCTCCGGCCAGACGGACAGTTGCAGGACGAGCCGTCACCACCCGCGTCCCTCCTGACTCCAGGCGCGAGCATCTCCCTGCGTGCGAGGTGGCCTCCACCGCGCTCGCCCCTTCGGGCTCGTTACAAGCAGGAGCCAAGCCTGTGCCAACCTACTCCCTCCTTCCCTTCGGATCGACTCCTCTGGCCCCAAACAGACCTGGGGGTCCGGGGGAGCAGTCGCGAGTGTCCACGGCCCTCCGGACCGGCCGCGCCGCTCGCCAGGGAAGCTCCGGGACGCGCAGCCCCGCGCGGCGCCAGCTGCCGTCTGCCAGGCCACACACCCCTGGAGTCGGTTTCGTGGAAATCAAAAATCTGTGTGTGCATCGTGTCCTCCAACAAGGACAGGCTAATCCCGGGAGCTAGAATCTGCACTTCAACCCTGCAGAGAACCGAGCAATCTGCTGTGGGACAACTTTGGGGCTTTGATGCCCAAACTTACCCAAAGTGTCTCTCCAAAGACTCGTGCATCATCAGCCAGTACTCAAAGTGGCCACCACCTGCTCCCCTCAGTCCTAAGAACCCAGAAAGGTCTTTGGGGGCTTCCTCTCGCCGTCCGTGGTTGAAGCAGCCATCTGGCTTAGCTTTGGTCCTCCTCGAAGCCTTTGTTCTCCTATTGGTCCTGCCTTGCCAGCAGCTTCGGGACTAAACGGGCATTTATGGAACCGACTGAAGAGCAAATTGAAGGGGTGGGGAAGGGAGGTTCTGGAAAGGAAAAGATAAGAGGATATAGGCAAAGGTAGAACTGTTCTGCCGACTCCTCTCTGGCATTCTGTGATTTTGTTTTTCTTGATTCGTTGAGTTGGAATTCATGGACAATCTTGCAGTTGTCTTCTATTTCTTAGGCACTTAAAAAAAAAACTTTTTATTGGCTCAACATAAAGTGAAACATAATAGATATACAGCTAAACACTTCTCTTTTAACACACACTGTTAAACAGGTTTTCAGAAACATTTGCACAACAGAAATAATTATTTGAAGTCATTTTCCTTAATGAGAGGACTTCTTTTCTAAATTCCAGTCATACATAAGTTCCATGTATGACTGGAATTTAGAAATGAAATTTAGAAAAAAAGATTTAGAAGAAAAATTTTTAAAAGTCCCTCTCCAGTCCAAGGGGTGGAAGGCTTAGTAAATTTACTGATTATCTGGTCTGATCTACAGCTGCTTTGTTACCAGCTAACTTTTAATTGGCTCTGATAATAGCAGCCCAGCACAAGTCCCTAAAACACAATGATAATTCTCAAATCTATTTTTAAGTCTTACTCCTAGTTTCTCCTAAATCTTTTGCCACCCTTGTTAACAAGTAACAGAGTCCAATGCTTGATTTCAACTGCTCCCTTCGGCAGCACTTATTCTAAAATTGATTTCACCTGCTCTTTTTCCTCTCCTTCTTTTAGAGAGATGCTAATGAACAGTGAAATGACCAAAAGCAGGCAGGTTACTGTGGGGGAGAAAAAAGAAGAAAAAGAAACTAGATATATTCACAACCTGGTGGCTCCTGAGCTGAGTGTACGGAATATTAAAAAGTCGAGCTGTTTTCTTTTCTCTCTGGGTATAAGTAGAGGTGAAAGACTCGTACTGCTCATTGATTCAATTTGTAGTTTGTATTTTGGATGAATTTTAAAGACTCCAAACTTATTCCAATACAATTGTATCATACTTGGTTTAATGAGAAAGTATACCAACCCTAAGGTAACAATATAGAATAAACACCCTGAAGTTTCCAGCGTCTTGCTAGTGCTTTCTTTGCTCTTTGTTCTAACTACTTTTAACTCTTCAGGGCTCTATCTTTAACTAACTTCATACCATCCTGGAATTGTGGAAGTTCTTAATCATTTTCTTTATATTAGAGAAAGATTTGCATAAATAATAGAGCTCCTTTATTAAAAGATTAAACTTGGTATAAGCCACAGCTGAAATTCAGAACCATTTTAAAAACTCAAGACACATCGGAAAATACTGGAATGTACATAAATTATATAGATGTATGATTGCTTGGTAAAGGATAAGAGAAGTAAAATCAGTAAATTACAAGTTATAAACTAGAAAATTTTCTTTTTATGTACATTAATTTTAAAGCATGTTAATTATTAATTGACCAAACTAACAAAGCAATAGAAGATATAAAAAAAAAAAGTCAGTTTTAAAAATTAAGAGAGAAGAATTTCAGTGTAGATGAGCTCCCTTATTCAGACATTTCCTGCTGGAGGTGGGGGAACCAGAAGCATCAGAAATTGGGTTTTCTTTTGTGAATAACCTTTTAAACTGACAACCTGGACAGACTCTTAAGAATTGATTTGCTATAGCAGGCGAACATTCTCCCTGAGAGAAATCAAAAAAGCTTTGAGGGGCGTCTCCAATGGGAATGCCACATGCTGTACCTCTCTCTCCAGCCCCGCATCAAAAGGGTAATAAATATAACTAGCTTCTCCCTTGTTAAAAGGAGGCGGGATAAGCCAATTTCATGCTTTATGTATGCTGGCTGTAAAAAGGCTTGCTTACCTAAAAAGAAATAGATTCCGACCAGATGTTCTCAAAAATCTTCCTCAGCTGCTGCTTGAAGTACAGTCACTGCATACTTTATCTTCTCCTCTATCTTCTAATTGTTGATCCAGGCAGTTGGACAGGCAGGCTGTTCCAAAAACCTTCCTGCAAAAGCTTTTCAGTCCTGCTCTCACAAAAACTTACTGTGTCCGTATGGAGATGGGGAGAGAGAGCAGGCCACTTTGTTCAGCCATGTGTTGTGGGTTGAAAGAGGAGGTCAGGAGACAATTCTTCAAAGGACAGTTCCTGTCACCTGAAAGTATAGTAAATTGCCATTAGAGAAATGTCTACAAGCACTAATGAGCCATATACATGGAAATCTTGATATCTGAAAAAATAAAATAAAACTCACCCAGACACCAAATGGAATTATCACAATAGGATGTGAAGTGTTCTTCTTGCTTTTGTTTAATCTGCCCACTATATTTTATCCCTAAGAGCCAAGAGCTCGCCCTTTATTAAACAAAATGATAAATTCATCTTTAGTTCCCTAAGAGATCTGTCTCTTTTATGTTTCAGGACTGAGTTACTTGATAACCATCAAGATATTTTTCACTTTTCTTTAGTAAAGTTGTATCCAGAGGTTATTGATCAATCAGATCAATTATAACTAAATTATAACTTCAGAATTATAGTTATTTATACATTATTGGACAATCAGCACAGATGCATGCCCTATAGATTTCTGGAAATTAGACTTTAAATAGTTTATTTTGGGATGTTAAAAATATATATGTATAAAATTAAATTTACTATCTTAATAGTTTAGCAGTGTTAAGTATATCACCTTGTCATATGGTTGATCTCTATAAATTTTTCCATGCAAAATTAAAACTATAGTACCATTAAATACTATTTTCCCCTCAGTCTCTAGGCCCAACTCTTGTCAAACACTTCCTACTGTTTCTGTGATTTTTGACTATGTTTGGTACTTCACAATTAGAATCAGACAGTCTTTGTTCTTTTCTGACTAGCTTATTTTCACTTATAGAGTGTCTTTAAGGTTCGTCCACAATGTATTATGTAATAAGATTTCTTTACTTTTTTTTATTTTTGGGTCACACCCAGCAATGCTCAGGGGTTACTCCTGGATTTGCACTCAGGAATTACTCCTGGCGGTGCTTGAGGGACCATATGGGATGCTGGGGATTGAACCCGGGTTGGCCGCATGCAAGGCAAACGCCCTACCTGCTGTGCTATCGCTCCGGCCCCAATTTCTTTACTTTTTAATGCAAAATAATTTTTCATTGTATGTTTTTGTTTACCCATTTATTCATTTATTTGTATAACCTCTACATCTGGCTACTATGAGTAATACTGTAATAAACACGGTTTTACAACCTATAAAACAGAACATAAATATACTGTTTTGATTTCACAAGCAAAATATACCCAGAAAGTAGGTGGCTGGATCCTATGCATAATTCCATTTTGATTTGGGGGCCAACTTTATACTATTTTACTTTATGACTGCTATACTTCAATCAAGGGCTGGAGCAATAGCACAGTAGGTAGGGTGTTTGCCTTGGACACAGTCAACCCAGGCAACCCGGGTTCAATTCCTTCACCCCTCTAAGAGAGCCTGGCAAGCTACCCAGAATATCTCGCCCACACGGCAAAGCCTGGCAAGATACCCGTGACATAGTCGATATACCAAACACAGTAACAACAAGACTCACAAAGGTGACGTTACTGGGCCCGCTCGAGCAAATCAATGAACAACGGGAGGACAGTGC